AAAGGGGGGGGGGGGGGGCGGGGGATAGTGGGGAAAAAAATTAGGAAATTTAAAGGAAGAGGAGATTGAGCGAAGACCAGTCTCGGGCTTATCATGGAAGGATTCGAGAATTTCACCTTGATCTCCTGTGATTGTCAAAAACCAAATTCCGATGTCATAGAATTGGGAGTTGGGAACAGCTCCAATTTGAGGGGCCGGCGCTGTGGCTTAGCGGGTAAAAAAACCGCCTGCAATGCCGACATCCCACATGGGTGCCGGTTCGAGTCCCGCTGCTCCACTTCTGATCCCGCTCTCTGCTATGGCCTGGGAAAGCAGTAGATGACCCAAGTCTTTGGGCCCCTGCACCCGCCTGGGAGACCCGGAAGAAGCTCCTGGCTCCCAGCTTCAGGTCGGCTCAGGTCCAGTCATTATAGCCTTTTTGGAGAATGAACCAGCAGATGGAAGACCTCTCTATAACTCTGCCTTTCAAATAAGTTAATAAATATTTAAAAATTATAGAGACAGAGATAGTTGGGAGTTGGGAACATCTCCAGTTTTAAAAGCCCCTCAGGTATAGCCCATGAGTGACTGGAGTTTGGAACTACTGGCCTAAATCTGGATCTACTTTTTTCACCCTGACTCAAGTGGCAAATGGGACAGGACTTAACAGAATTCCAGAATCGTTGCCATTTATTTAAAATAAGCCAATTGCACATTTCATGCCTCTGAGGCAAAACGTGCTCACAAGACAGGAATGCTTCTAAAGTGAAATGCCAACAAGAGGAAGAGAAAGGAATGCCCAGAGAGGCAGTAGGTGCTCTCCAGGTAGTTTGCAGTTAGAGAGTGACTCTGTGCGGTACAGGAAGCTGCAGAAAACCTCAGATTCTCAAGCTCCAGTGTGGCTCTGCAAAAGCAAAATGATGGCAGCATCCGGAACAAGACAGAACCGGGAGGAGCAAGGAAGGGTGGGTGCTTACATCTTCTGCAAAACTTGGATAATCTGGAGGCTGCTCCAGAATCAAAACACAGCCCAGGGCCAAGGCGAGAGGGGCTTATAAATTTAACTGGGAATTCAGAATGCTTCAATCTCCGTGGGATAAAAGTATATGGCTTTGTCCACTTCCAGTTTTGAACTGGGATTTGTACTTGCAGTGCTCTGCATAAAATAATAAGTGTCCTGACAGAAGTAGCATAGAACAAGGCCAGTGCCATGGCTCACTAGGTTAATCCTCCGCCTGCGGCACCAGCACCCCGGGTTCTAGTCCCGGTTGGGGCACCGGTTCTGTCCCGGTCACTCCTCTTCCAATCCAGCTCTCTGCTGTGGCCCGGGAGGGCAGTGGAGGATGGCCCGGGTTCTTGGGCCCTGCACCCGCATGGGAGACTGGGAGGAAGCACCTGGCTTCTGGCACTGTATCGGTGCAGCGCGTGGGCC